TAATTAGCCTTTTAAACATATAATTGAACCAAATCTCCAGTTTATGTTCATTTTTTGTGTAATATTTCACAATGAAGCTGCAAAGGTCTGGAAGAATTTTTTACCTTTCAGTGCAAATATAAACTTTAAATGTTCTTCAACTTTCATTGCAACTGGAAAGTTTTTGCAGCATAAATGTTGTATATCTGAATATTTAAGATAAAACAATAGGAACAGTTTTAAAGCCTGCAACCATATATATTGAATATATATGACTGATATATATATTACAACCATTATCTAGGAAACTTGACACCTCGTAACTGACATTGGAAAAAAGAATTGAATGAGCAGATTCACCAAGCGGTGACTTGCTTAGTGAAAGTCGCAAATCTTCAAGTCATGCTGTTTCAATTTGACCTCTTACTCAGCATCAGTTCCCAATTTATGGACTCGAAATTTGAAATCAACTCTGCTTTATGTACTAGCTTCCTCTCCTGTGCTTCCATCTGAAGGCGAGGTAAAGGCCAAGGAGGCAACTGAGGTTCTGCAACCATTTGGGCAAAGCAAGACAACTTTATTTATTCATCTCCTTTCAGCCAAAGACTATTCAAAGTGCTTGTACAAGAAAGTAAAAAACAACATTCAGCAAGAAGATAGTCACAAAATAATAATAATAATAATAATAATAATAATTTTAGTAAACGATCAAGCGGAGTAAAAATAGAGAAAGTAAATTTTAAACAGTAAACGAGTAGAAGTTAAAAATTAAGAAAAGGCTAATTCAAAAAGGTTTTAAATAAACTCAAGGTAGAGGTAGCCTTACAATGTGATTAGTATTAGTGTAAGCATTAATTCTTTAAGATAACATACAAGTTATACTAATTAATTTCCCAGTGATTGTTGTTATTCTGTTTTAAAGATATCTTCCTCTCATTCCATTCAATATGTTCACTATGTGATCAATTCAGTCTTTATGAGTTCATCCTTAACTTAATAGTGATTGATGAAATTATATTTCATTTAATTAGATTGATATTACTAAAACATTGCAGAATTTCTCTGAGATTGTGAGAGCTTTTTATTAGACTTCATCTACATCCTGTCCCATTATTCTGCAGATTAGAAAAATGTTCCAAACATCTGACAGAAAATCAAACAGTACACTAGTGGTTATAAAACGGATGACAGCAATCTTTCTTCCTTTTTTCCTTCTTTCTTTCTTTCTTTCTTTCTTTCTTTCTTTCTTTCTTTCTTTCTTTCTTTCTTTCTTTCTTTCTTTCTTTCTTTCTTTCTTTCTTTCTTTTTTTCTCTCATTGTTTGTGGTCAAAATCAGTGCATTTGTTTTCACCTCCTTATTTATTATTAAATCACACCAAATGCTGAATTATAATTGCGTCAATTAATTCATTATGTAAAGCTGCAAAGTTTAAACTACATTTTAAAGACTTAAGTTAAATGTTATGTATTGAGTGAAGCCATAAGCTTCATACAAAAAATACCTCTAACAGATTTCACTTGAACATTTTTCATTCCCCAGTTTCTAAAGATTGAATTTGTCTGATTTTCTGCAGTTTATGTGCAGAAATCTTTGCGCAAACATGTGATAAGTAATAACAGACACATCTTAGCAATATTAAAATGTCTCAATGTTTTTAAAACCTACCTGTCAATATCAGACATACACTTTTCCTGCTGTTGGATGGGAACCTTTTTAACTTTTTACAAGTTTTTAGTAAGAAAAAACAAAAAGTGTAAATGTTCTGCAGATTGTTTTTCTGTAGATCATATATATGTCACCATTAAAATTCAACCGTTCAGCATGACCTTCAGTGAAATATGATAAACCTGAATGATAAACAAACAGATTTTATCCTCAGAGCTTCTTAGTTCATGACCTTGACCTGAAAACGTCTCTGCAGTCATAAACATTTACAGCCCACAGCAACATATTAAAGCACAACCTGCATATGCAGCTCAGGAAACTCATGAAAACCTTCATAGATGACATACTACACATTTATATTTCATCAATTTTCTTTTTACATTGATCATTCTGATATTAATTTATTCTGAGGAATCTTTTTTTAAAACATTGCTTTATATCTGGATTTGCATGAATATTTAAACCGAATCTAAAGACCAGCTTTATTCCAGAAACCATCAATGTGAGCTGTAGCTTATTATTTTATTCATTTCCTAACTTTTCCTCATTTTGTTTCATGGACCTAAACATAATAAGTATAAATATTTTCCTTCCATGGAACCGCAGAATAACCCTGTTCATGTTAACATTTACTGAGATTCTCTGAAACTCAGGTATCAATAATCAGCTGCAGGTATTAATGAACAACCTGACTGCTCTGACAACCATTTGAACTCCAGAAAAAGAGTTCAAAGCCACACACAAACTCTCTCCAATACATACGCACACATACACACACACCTGCCTCCGACCCCCCACACACACACATTAAAGAAACTGGATTGATGCACAAATTGAACTTGCATTTGACCTGCACCTGCCTTCTCAATCTGCTGCCAACCCCTCACACCAAGCTCCTCAGCACAACAAAAAACACTGAGACATAATGAAAACAAATGAAGTATAGGAGAAGGGGCATAAATAGAAAATTAGGAACGCCCGAGGGTTAATGACATTGACCTGAAAACATCTCTGGAGTCATAAACATTTACAGCCCACAGCAACAGATTAAAGCACAACCTGCATATGCAGTTCAGGAAACACTTGAAAATCTTCAAACATGGCATAATACATATTTATATTTCATTCGTTTTCTTTTCACATTGATCATTTTATTTCTGAATATTTAAACAGAATCTAAAGACAGTTTTATGCCAGAACAAATCCATATGATCTGTAGTTTATTATTTTACTCATTTCCTGTGTTTTCTTGTTTTCTTTCATTGACCTAAATATAAAAAGTGCAAAGATTTTCCTTCCATGCGACCGTAGAATAACCCTGTTCGCGTTAACATTTCCTGAGATTCTTTGGAAACTCAGGTATCAATAATCAGCTGCAGGTATTAATGAACAACCTGACTACTCTGTCTCCAGAGTAACATGGCGAAGGTGCAGGCACTCAGTGTGTCGCACTCAAAATAAATTAAACAAATAAACATTTTCTTTGTTCGAATTTAATAAAGCAATTTAAACTAAATTGTCTTGATATTTATGTTTCTTTGAACAATTAAATTCACTTTTTGTGTTTTTCCCTATGACAGAAGAACCTCCTGACTAACCAGTCCTGGTCACCAATCCTTCCTTTGATTCCTGATTGTTGGGGCAGGAAGTCTTCCTGGTGTCCTGCAACTTTTAGATACTTCAGCACACCTGGCTCCAATAGCAGCTCATCAACAGAGCTCTGCAGAGCCTCACTGCATGCCAGTGAGACAGTTAAATTAAAGTCTTTAGGTCAAGGGACACATCTGAAACTTGCAGGACTCGGGTCCTGGAGGAATGCAGACTGAGGCCACTGCCTAGAGGAACCAAAGCTAACGTTCTGTTTTCTCAGAGCTCACAGGAAACACAGCACAGCTGAGACAATGTGGTCCCACAACATGCCTGATATAAGATGAGAGTTTTTATGGCAATCTTAATTATTCTACATCAACAAACGGCTGCAGTCAATTGCAACAACTGAATCAATGTTGATGATTCAGTTACATCTCAGTTAAGATGTAACAAAGATGTTACATCTTAACATCTCTGTTACTTTTTGACATTAGATGTTAAGTTGTAACAAATATGTTACATCTTAACATATTTGTTAAAATGTAACAGAGCTAAACATGTCAGGCTATCCTACAGAGATCTTTCAAGATCATTTACAGAATTAGATTCTTTTGGTCTCGACACACAAGAGGCAACATCAACCTGTTCATTTATGCAAAGAGGAGAAAATTGCTTTTCCCTCTGCAGCCAAGTGAATGGAAAATTTGGACATGTGAATTTTCAGGCTTGTATTCATAAACTAGCATAGTGTGTGTGCTAGTGAGCACACACTAGGAAATATGAAAACGGGGCATTTTTTTAACTTTGTCAAGAAAGTTGAAAAATAACATTTTGTTCCTGTTGTTACTTCCTGCTTTGTATGGATCTATTTGTAACTTGGGCTTGTTAGGAATAAAATCCTAATTTCGTCAGATTAATATGTATCCTGGGACTTTTCACTGAAACATCACAAAGGATTCAAAACATCACAACTCAGAACACAAAAACAGGAAATGAATTAACAAGGACAGGAAGTACAAGCTAAATCCTTTTTCCAAAAAATGTCATCAGTGAAAATAATCCCTGATGCTGAAGTCATAAAGTAAAAATCACATCTTTGCTTTGATTTCACTGAAACATTATAGAGTCACTAGTGTATTATTGACAGGTCTGTCAGTGACTGTGTATAAGAGCAGCTGTTTCCAGGACCTCCAGACAGAAGAGCTGAAGCTTGTCTGATGCTGAAGTGAAGGAAAAAAGGTAATTTTGATTCTGCTTTGGTAAAAAGATTTGATCTAACTTCAACGACTTTTATTGAGTTGAGACTGTTTGTGTTTTTGAAGGTGATCTTCAATGACTCTGAATGTTCTGATGTTTCTTTGAGCTTGTTACACTGCATTATGTAATAATGTAATACAATTGGGTTTCATAATTATGTTATATATTGAATTATTATATTATTATAATGAACTATAGTTAACAACATATTTTACTGTATATTCACAAAAACCAATCAAGAAGAGCCTTTGCATTCAGATCATCGACCATTTCAGATTTTATGTACTTTCTTAAAATCCCTCAAATATTAAGTCCTTTTTTAAGCCAGAAGGGCAAATTATTTCAGCAAAGTTGATGGAAGAGCAGGAGAACATTTTTGGAAATTTCTACTAAAACTCTCAGAAAACAGTAAGTGGTTGCAAAACATGATTGAAATAATTTTGCTACAGATGAATTTGAGGTGGCTCTCATCCATCAATTCAACCGCAAAATCCATGCAAGCCGCATCTCCAGTTATATTAATGTTACATTTTATTTTGCATTATTTGTGCAATTGAGACTCATTATCCAAAGTTCAGAAAGAAGTAAAATGTAAAATGAAGAAACCAAGCTCATGTTTTTCATCAGGTGATGTTTGATTTAGATTCCTGATCATCAAGGTGAGGTGACACATCAGCAGGTATAAATAACGGAGTCTGAACGTCGGAGACACAGAGGAGAAGCAGAAGTTTGGAATCAAGTTCATTCCAGCTGCAGGTGAGAGATGAACACATGAATTCATTTACAACTGAGTTTGTCCACTAAAGTTTCTCTATGTTTTACATTAACAGGGAATTTCATTGTGCTGCAAGTCAAACTCCAGATTTTCATCAAGTTTGATCAATTTATCCAGATCAACAGTAAAGATGAAGGTAAGCCTGTAACTTGCACTGTAAAAAAATAAAAAATAATTCATCTATCTTTATTTATTTTAACAAGGAAAGGTATTTTTAATGTTTAAAATCTTGTTAACAACAAATGACCAAAATAAAAATCAGCGCAGAGACATTGTACGTAAAATGTACAAATTATGAAACATCAATAATGATTAGAATATGAACACAAACAACAACAAGATATTTCACTATGTAGTCAAAAAATGTAAAAATTAAACAACTTCTAGTGAGTTTGTTAATTATTTAAAATGTTTGATATTTTGTTCAGTCACTGAAATGTTGAGTAAATTTGAGTGTTTAAATTTATCCAAACACTCAATGCATGTAAACACTGTACATAGTTTTGGCTCTGGAAATAACATTTGTTAACAGGACTGATGAAATGAGTTGTTAAAAAATGGAGGATCAAACCAACCAGAAACCTTTGTTAAGGCAGAATTCAGCATAATTCTGACTGAAAATCTGGCAGCACAGCTTACAGGCCACATGCAGGACAAGATCAGGGATCAGGTTTAATCTGACTAAATGAACGTTAATCAGAGTTTCTCTGATGATGTTCAGAAGGTGTCATGTTCTGTCTTCCAGCTGTTATCACTTCTCTTCCTCCTGGCTCCACTGCTGATCAGCTGTGAAGCGGCTGAGGACCAACTGCCACGTGATTGCAATGACATCTACAATACAACAAGAAACTTCCCAGTGGAGTTTACATCATCTATCCATGGATATTCATCTGCTGTTAAGGTGAACTTTATGTTTGGTTTGTTCATAAAAATGAAGATCCAGATTAAAGTTCTGTGCAGGACCAAGACTGGAGGTTTATCTGTTAACAATGCTGAGGATGTTTTTACTTAATCTTCATACACATTACATAAACTGACTCTTTGAAACTGAACTTTCTTGATGGTTAGTATCTTGAAAACACTGGAAACTGGAAAACTGGAAAAAGCTCCAGTTTTTTCTTCCTATAACCAAATCAGTTATTCATGGAGAAGAAATTTTATTTAATTATACGTTCACTTATTAGTGAGGCAATGATAGTATTTATTTTTCCACATAAAGTGTGACATTGCATTACATAATAAAAACTGTATCAAGTCATGAATGTGTTTGTGTGAAGGCTTACTGCGACATGGACTCAGAGGGAGGACGCTGGACGGTGAGTCCATCTCTACATGAACTCTCTCTGTTTACACTTCAACTTGGTTTATCTCAGGATTCTTGGGGGTTTTCATCCAACAAACATCAAGTTCTTTGAAAGAAGAGTCTTTATTGTCCTTCCATTTTCACCTGCCTGAGATAAGATTTGATCAGTTTTGTCATGTTAAATATTGATTATTGATACCAATTCAGAGTTGGTACAAGCCACTTCCTTTTCACCCTGAGTGTGTCAGTGAGAACGTTGTTCACTTCTTGATCAGATTCCTTTGTTGTTCCAGGTTTTCCAGAGGAGGATGGATGGCTCTGTAAACTTCTACAGACCCTGGGCGGAGTACAAGAGGCTTTGGAAACGCTGCTGGAGAGTACTGGCTGGGTGAGACACCGACCTAAACAGTTAGTCAATGAATGGTTGGTTTATTTATTACGATATTTATAACATAGTTATTGCCACATTTTTCAACACCTGTTTATTGTCTCGACTTTCTATTTTACTATTGTGTTACTAAGTGATGGTGTGCAGGTGCAGGTCAAAAACTGTGAATATTATGGAAAAGTTTATTTCAATCAGTAATTAATTCAAAAAGTAACATTGTATGTCATATTAATTCATTTCATACAGCTTGATATATTTCAAATGTTTACTTCTTTTAGTGTTGATATTTGTTTCTGACAACTCATGAAAACTACAAATTCAGTATTTCAGAAAATTTTAATATTGTGAAAAAGTTCAATATTGCAGAGCTCTGGTGCTACACACTAATCAGTTTAAGTCAAAACACCTGTAAATGCTTCCAAATGGTCGCTGAGTCCAGGTCTGTAGGTTATTCAATCATGGGAATGACTGCTGACCTGACAGTTGTTCAAAAGATGACCTATGACCCCTTGCACAAGAGGGCAAGACAGAAACATCACAGCTAAAGAAGCTGGCTGTGCACAGAGCTGTTTTCACACACATTCATAGAGAAGTGAGGCGGAAGAAAAGATGTAGTGGAAAAAATTGGACAAGCAATCAGGATAACTGCACCTGGAGGGGATTATGAAACAAAACCATTTAGAAATGTAGAGTCGGCTGCAGATGGAGTCAGTGCTTGAAGAGCCACCACACACAGATATATGCAACATAGATTTCAGCTGTTGCTTTCCTTGTGTCGAACTGATGCTGATGCTGATCTTGAAGAAGAACCTAAACGTCGTAGAAAATCTGTCTTATTGTGAAGAGGAAGACGCGACAGTCAAGACCCAACAAGAGCTGCAGATGTTGGTCAGAGCCATGTGGGTTCTCATATCACCTGAACACCACAGAGTGATCGACTCCATGCCACGGTGCATTAATGCAGTGATCTGGACAGTAATGTGTGTGCAAAAATCTCAGTAAAAATCCAACTTTAATAGTTTTCATGTCTGTGCAGGTCTTGATAACATCCATAAGTTGACATGGTATAAAGACTGTGAGCTGATGGTCGATATGGAGGACTTTGATGGAAAAAAAGCCTTTGCCGTTACTCTTCATTTTACATATATGATGAGCTTGATGGTTACCTTCTGCATGTGAGTGGTTTCAACAAAAAAGGGGCGCTGGTGAGTCATGAGAAAAAACACATTCTAACTTTACTAGTCAGGATGAATTTATGGATGGATGGAATGATGCCCATCACTAATTATGTCTTTTTAAAATAAATAATTCAACTTGTGCTGGGTCTGAAAGTCGTGCAGTGAGTCTGGAAATGTAGAGCAAGGCACTGAGCATGGATCCTGGTGTGTAATATACACCAGGAGTGTATTATTACACACTCCTGGTGTATAATAATACACCAGGAGTGTATTACAATACACTCCTGGTATAATAATAATAATAATAATAATAATAATAATAATAATAATAATAATAATAATAATTAAATAAAGCTAATTTACTGTAGTTAGACAAATCAGGATTAAGAGAAATAGACCTTGATTGGATTAAAGTATATCTAAATCCAGAGTTTGTTCTTATGGTTCTGAAGCAGGAAGATTGATGTTGGTAGTTAACAGCACAAAGTAAATTTAAATTGATCTCATTGATAATATCCCAGTAAGAAATTAACATAACTCATAATTTTTTTCACAAAACATTATCAACTTTTCACAAAGTCAGCATTTTTGTTAAATATTGAAATTACAATTTTATTGATGTTGGATCACGCAGAATTTGTATTTTTTTTTCACTATTCAAGCTTTCAACTGAATGTCTGTTTTATTCATATAGTTTTTGTATCCTATTATTATTTCTGCAGGAGACAGCCTTTCCTATCACCACCAACAGAAATTTACCACTTTTGACAAAGACCAGGATGAGTTGAGCGGCAACTGTGCCAAAAATATCTCGGTGCTTTCTGGTACAATAAGTGTCACTATACAAACCCTAACGGGGTTTATCGCTGGGGGGCTGACAACACACTCTATGCTATTGGAGTGGAATGGGGTACATGGAAGGGAGTTAATTACTCCCTGAAGAGCATCACCATGAAGATCCGTCCTGCCAAGTAAATCTGCAGGTCAAACATCCAGCAAAAAATAATGAGATGCTTTTTCTTATAATCAACCATCAACTTTTAGCTTCAAACATGAGTCAAAAGTTCACTTGATTTCTAATAAATATAATCCAGTTGATTAAATCATTGGAGAGAGTTTGCTACCTGTAATCAATTCATCTCTGATAATAAATAAGATGCCAGCAGCAATATTTGTGTGTCTGTATTTTTTTATATGTAAGAATTAAAATAAGCCAGTTTTAAAAACAAATTGGGCCAAATGGAAACATTTTTAGAATCAAACCTCTTGGTTAAATGCAATTAATTGAAAAACAACCAGGTCTTCCATAATTCTAAATTTTATGCTCAACTGTGTCAATGTCAACATCTATGTCTATTTAATGATCTGTTTATGTCACTCCCAGAGAAAATAAAGTATATCTGGTGTTAGCTAAGACAAAGAAATGGAGTGTAATATGATTTTTATCAGAAAACAATCAGGAAGTGAAACAAGAACAGCAGAAAGTCATCAATTAGTTTTTTCTTGCAATAAAATGTAAAAAAAAAAAGCACAAGAACTTGATCTAATAATATCAGGAGAACAATAAAATATTTATAGTTTGACCATTTATAATGACCATATGATGTGCGTCAATGTGTTGAAAAAACAAATTACATGATTTTTAGACTCTGGAGATGTGTTGATTGATTTGATCAGGTTGAAGAAAGTTTTGTTATTATATGAAGTGAAAGACTCACTGAATGCTCAGGCGTAGTGGATATTATACAATTCACTGATTGTTCCTTTTCTGATACATAGTGCAGATGTTTGGGAAATGCCTGTAATAATATTCAAATTCTATTTTTACTTTTGCAAATTATAGAAATTAAAAGCAGAAAATGCTGCAGAGCTCCAACAAATGCATTGTGCTTCAACTTAAAATTGATATTTATTGGTGGACTACTATATCCAAAGTAATGAAATGTAGTTTGAATGTTAATGGAAACTCCAGGTGTTAATCTGAAAAGAAAAAGTAATTTTGTTAAATGACTTTTAAGTTCTGATTATCAAGAAACTGGTGTTGGGTCTATTTTGGTTCCCAACCAAAGACACAAATTACTTTTCTACCACCGTCAAACACCGTGTTGTGTCTCCTCCACCGGCTCTCAACTGCCTTTTATTATGTTTACAAGAAAAAAGGTTGGGCTTTTTCACACAGTCACACAAACAATTGATCAATAACCTTAACCACAAGGTGTTTTGGGACCTTCTGTGAACATGCCCTTACCTGGACACAAGGCTGACCGTTATACCTGTGTTAGCAGGTAGCTGTTGGCACAGCTACCTGTGTTATTACCTGTGTATTATTATAATAATAACAACAACAACAAATAATAAATAATAATAATAATAATAATAATAATAATAATAATAATAATAACAACAGGTAGCTGTTAACACAGACAGCTAATGATCAAAGCAGCTGGTATCACAAGCATGTATAAACATTTCCAACCCCCAAGCAAACTTCTGAAAAAACAGTTAATATTGTACCACAAAAGAAAGGAGTCAAGTAAACAACACACAGAATAATAATATAAAAACATAGCCTTTCAAATAAACTCATAAGTAAATGAACTTAGACAATTTTTCTAAAAACTGGGCATGGGTCATTCTTTCAGAAGCTATTTATGCATTTTAATAACTTGGGAAGTTGCATATGGATCCATATGAATGAACCAGCTGGGCCTCAAACCCGAATTTGTATTTTTTCCAAGCTTATATGTGCCAATACAATTTATTTTATGGTTTGATTTGCAAACGCAACATGTAGTGCATTAATGTAGTGCATTAATACTAATTGAAAACCCTGCATTTTTTCAACAGTCTTATAAACAATTAAAAAGTATGGAATATATTGGTATAATTAGCCTTTTAAACATATAATTGAACCAAATCTCCAGTTTATGTTCATTTTTTGTGTAATATTTCACAATGAAGCTGC